TACAAGCTACCAACCTATTTCCTTACTTAACCTTGATATAAAGTTGCTTGTGAAAATATTGGCCAACAAGCTTAGACCTTATCTATCTGACATCATTGGACCAGAACAAGTCAGTTTTATGCCTGGTAGGGAAGCACATGACAATGTTGTCAAATCCCTTAACTTGATCCATAAGGCGGGGGGGCGGAGGGCTTCGAGGGCCTTCTCCTCTCTACCGATGCAGAGAAGGCCTTCGATCGCTTATCTTGGGACTTTATGTTTGCTATGTGTGCTCATACTGGGCTGGAACCCCATATGTTGAATTGGATCTCTGCTCTATACCAGAACCCAAGGGCTAAGATTAAGGTTAATGGCATGCTTTCTGAAACAATAACTATTAAGAAAGGAATGAAGCAGGGTTGTCCCCTTCTGTTCATTCTCACTCTCGAACCCTGCATACGGCTGGTTTAGCAAAAGGAGGCGATTCGTAGATTCCAGATCAACGATGAGACTTTCAAAACTGCGGCATATGCGGATGACTTGTTATTTTTCATATCTCTCAACCTCATATTTCTATGCCTAACCAGAGGCATTGAATTTAACGGTGCACTTCTACTCCCTAGCCTTCACTAAGCGAAACTGCACTTTCAGGTGGGTTCCTACAGCCCTTAAATATTTGGGCATCTGGCTCACTCCCAATCTTTGTCCTTGTACTACGCAATATTCAGAAAGATCTCGATACTTGGCAGGCAAAAACTTTCTCTTGGTTTGGTAGGGCTGCCATAATTAAAATTAAAATTTTTCCTCAGATACTTTATTGCATGAATGCTCTCCCATCAACCTTTTTTAAGAAATTGCAACAGGCTCAAAGAGCCTTTGTATGGGCCAATAAAAAACCATGTATTCAATTTCAGCTCATCACGTGTACTAAGAGTTCTGGAGATGTGGGGTTACCGGACTTTAAAAAATATTATTTCGCTACTCACATTACCAGAATCATAGACTGGAATTGTCATGTCAAGCATAAACACTGAGTTTCCCTGGAAAGCTCTTATATTTCAGCTCTTTTAATATTTTTGGCATGGTTGTCAGTCTGCTTATCCAAACTGTTTGATAGCACATCCCTTAATTGGCGCAAATTTAGATGCATTTCATGACCTTGCTAGGGTTGTGTGGACTGGCTGATAGTCCAGAGTTTCCCACTGAGTTAGAGATTGGAGTGATTCCAGTGCATGAGTCAGGCTGCTTATCTCTGCTGGCGACTCATTGCCTCAAAGGTGGGGGAGTTAAGTCCAAAGGAGAGCTCCAGGAGTTATGCGGAAAGGTTTCTATCCCATACTGGACTTATTTTCAAATACACAATTACTTGACTAATGGAAGGAAGCTTTTTCCAGGCCCCTCACAAATCTATTAACGCTCTGTTTAAAGGGGAAACCAGTTGACAAAACCACCTCTCTGGCCTATTCATGGCTTCAAAACAATCTGAACCCCCTGACAATTTTTGGACTGGTTGGTAATCAACCCTTCAGGTAGAGTTCTCTGATGAGCAATGGAGAAAAGCCTGTATTTTTGCTCACAAATGCTCCACCAGTACTCACTCAAGAAACCTCCTATAAACTGTTCATAGATGCTATGCTACACCGGATAGGCTAGAGAGGTGGTTCCCTCAGACATCAGGCTTATGCTGGTGCTGTGAATCAGCCGAGGGCTCCCTGTTATATGTTTGGTGGCAATTAGAGATGAGCGAAGTATTCAAAAATTCGATTCGACTGATTCGGCGAATTTGTGGAAAAATTTCGATTCGAGTCGAATATATTCGCTGCGAATTTAACTTATAAAAGGGTGTTTCTAGGCTTCAGAGAGCCTTTATATTAGTGCAGAACACTGTACCTTTAATTTAAATGCCCTTGGAGTCTGCTGGGGAAGAGAAATAATACTGACAGTCAGTATGACATGCAGATGAGTGCCGTCGATCTTAGAATCACCGCACACTTCACTCATTTGGGCAGTCACGGGGCCAAAACCAGAGTGTGGAGCCACAGTGTGGCGGTGGAGGCAGCAGCAATGGGAGGCCATACAGCACCCTATGACAAAAATGGAAACCACCAGCATTGTGAGGAGACCTGAAAGTGGCACATGGCAGAGTGTGGCGATGGAGACAGCAGCAATGGGAGGCCGTACAGGGACCCATGACACACTCTGGACCTGGCAGCAGCATGAGGAGGCGGTACAGGGGCCCATGACAGATTATGGGCCTGGCAGCAGCATGAGGAGTAGGTACGGGGGCCCATGGCAGATTACGGGCCTGGCAGCAGCTATGGGAGGCCGTACAGGGACCCATGACACACTCTGGACCTGGCAGCAGCATGAGGAGGCGATACAGGGGCCCATGACAGATTACGGGCCTGGCAGCAGCATGAGGAGTCGGTACGGGGGCCCATGACACACTCTGGACCTGGCAGCAGCATGAGGAGGCGGTACAGGGGCGCATGACAGATTACGAGCCTGGCAGCAGCAACTTGGACAGGAGGACGTTCAGCTTCTGCACCGTCGGGTGCGTGCTCGCAAACTGTTGTCTCTTGGAAACGTATTCCAAGAAAGACTGCTGACGGAATCCGTGAAGAGGAGTAGCAGGAGAAGGAGCATCTGAACGAGCGGAATATGCCAACAAGTGACAACAGGGGCCCATGACAGATTACGGGCCTGGCAGCAGCATGAGGAGTCGGTACGGGGGCCCATGGCAGATTACGGGCCTGGCAGCAGCAATGGGAGGCCCGTAATCTGCCAGCACCCTATGACAAAAAATGGAACACACCAGCAGTGTGTGAGGAGACCTGAAAGTGGCACATGGCAGAGTGTGGCGATGGAGACAGCAGCAATGGGAGGCCGTACAGGGACCCATGAGAGACTCTGGACCTGGCAGCAGCATGAGGAGGCGGTACAGGGGCCCATGGCAGATTTCGGGCCTGGCAGCAGCAATGGGAGGCCCGTAATGTGCCAGCACCCTATGACAAAAAATGGAACACAACAGCAGTGTGAGGAGACCTGAAAGTGGCACATGGCATGAGACACTGTGGACCTGGCAGCAGCATGAGGAGGCGGTACAGGGGCCCATGGCAGATTAGGGGCCTGGCAGCAGCTATGGGAGGCCCGTAATCTGCCAGCACCCTATGACAAAAAATGGAACACACCAGCAGTGTGTGAGGAGACCTGAAAGTGGCACATGGCAGAGTGTGGCGATGGAGACAGCAGCAATGGGAGGCCGTACAGGGACCCATGACACACTCTGGACCTGGCAGCAGCATGAGGAGGCGGTACAGGGGCCCATGGCAGATTACGGGCCTGGCAGCAGCAATGGGAGGCCCGTAATCTGCCAGCACCCTATGACAAAAAATGGAACACACCAGCAGTGTGAGGAGACCTGAAAGTGGCACATGGCAGGGGCATGATTCATGGCGGATTTAGTCAGTTGTGTCAGGAACTGGTGGTTTGAAATCCAGACTAATCCACGCCTGATTCATTTTCACAAACGTGAGTCTCTCCACACTTTGGGTGGACAGTCGTGTCCTCCGCGGAGTTACAATACCTCCTGCCGCACTAAACACGCGCTCCGATGCCACGCTACTGGCCGGGCATGACAACCTTTCAAGGGCAAATTCAGCTAGTTGGGGCCAAAGGTCAAGTTTCATTGCCCAGTAGTCAAGGGGATTGTCTACCTCGGTTGGCAGGGTGCTGTCCAAGTAGGCCTAAGCCTGTTGTTTGAGGTCCTGCTCCAGGTCCACCTGATGCTGCTGCTGCTGTGGCTGGTTAGTAGTTTCCTCACTGCGCTGGTGAAGAAAGCTACTCATCATTGACTGCAGACTGAGGCAGCCGCTGCTGGTGGAGCTGCCACTGCTCCTACCACCCCACCCCTCCCCTGCTGCCATGGCAGCGGAACACGAGCGCACAGGGCCCACAGTGTCTGAGGATGGACGTTGGCGCAGAAAGGCAGAGACCAGCTGACTACATAGGTGGGTTTTTTATAGTACGTTATTTTGGCCTCCCTCTCAGCAGGTGTGAAAAAGGCCACCATTTTTGAACGGTAGCGAGGGGTCCAACAAGGTGGACAGCCAAAAGTCATCCCTCTGTCTGATGGTTATTATTCGGCTGTCGCTACGCAAGCAAGCGAGCATGCTATGGGCCATTTGTGCCTAGGAATGCGAGGGACTCCCTGCCTCCATCTCCACAGCATACTGCCACGGTGCGTCTGGGTCCTCTGTCTCCTCCTCCTCCTCCTCTACCAGATGCTCCTGCTCCTCCACTCCTGTCCGCTGAGTGGAAAAACCACCCATTTCACTCAATAATTCCTGAGCACCAATGTCCTCCTCTACCTCCTCCTCTTCTTCCTGTCCTGCCCCCCCAAAGGGGTCATGTGGCGTTGAGATCTGTGCGCCACGTCTACCGCACCCTGACCAGCCATTGTTAACAGCATTTGTTCCAGGACGTGCAACAGAGGAATGACGTCGTTCATCCCATAGTCCTGCCGACTCAGGAATAGCGTGGCCTCCTCAAAGTGCCTGAGCAAGCGCAGGTGTCACGCATGAGCTGCCAATGGCTGACATCTAAGTTACACAGGGAGTACCTTTATCTGCTTGTAACATCAGGAAATCTGTGATGGCCTTTCGCAGTTCGTAAAGGCGGTCTAACATATGTAGGGTTGAATTCCACCTTGTTGCAACGTCACAGCATGAGGAGTCGGTACGGGGGCCCATGGCAGATTACGGGCCTGGCAGCAGCAATGGGAGGCCCGTAATCTGCCAGCACCCTATGACAAAAAATGTAACACACCAGCAGTGTGAGGAGATCTGAAAGTGGCACATGGCAGAGTGTGGTGATGGAGACAGCAGCAATGGGAGGCCGTACAGGGACCCATGAGAGACTCTGGACTTGGCAGCAGCATGAGGAGGCGGTATAAAGGCCCATGGCAGATTTAGGGCCTGGCAGCAGCTATGGGAGGCCCGTAATCTGCCAGCACCCTATGACAAAAAATTGAACACACCAGCAGTGTGAGGAGACCTGAAAGTGGCACATGGCATGAGAGACTGTGGACCTGGCAGCAGCATGAGGAGGCGGTACAGGGGCCCATGGCAGATTAGGGGCCTGGCAGCAGCTATGGGAGGCCCGTAATCTGCCAGCACCCTATGTCAAAAAATTGAACACACCAGCAGTGTGTGAGGAGACCTGAAAGTGGCACATGGCAGAGTGTGGCGATGGAGACAGCAGCAATGGGAGGCCGTACAGGGACCCATGAGAGACTCTGGACCTGGCAGCAGCATGAGGAGGCGGTACAGGGGCCCATGGCAGATTAGGGGCCTGGAAGCAGCTATGGGAGGCCCGTAATCTGCCAGCACCCTATGACAAAAAATGGAACACACCAGCAGTGTGTGAGGAGACCTGAAAGTGGCACATGGCAGAGTGTGGCGATGGAGACAGCAGCAATGGGAGGCCGTACAGGGACCCATGACACACTCTGGACCTGGCAGCAGCATGAGGAGGCGGTATAGGGCCCATGGCAGATTAGGGGCCTGGCAGCAGCTATGGGAGGCCCGTAATCTGCCAGCACCCTATGTCAAAAAATGGAACACATCAGCAGTGTGTGAGGAGACCTGAAAGTGGCACATGGCAGAGTGTGGCGATGGAGACAGCAGCAATGGGAGGCCGTACAGGGACCCATGAGACACTGTGGACCTGGCAGCAGCATGAGGAGGCGGTACAGGGGCCCATGGCAGATTAGGGGCCTGGCAGCAGCTATGGGAGGCCCGTAATCTGCCAGCACCCTATGACAAAAAATGGAACACACCAGCAGTGTGTGAGGAGACTTGAAAGTGGCACATGGCAGAGTGTGGCGATGGAGACAGCAGCAATGGGAGGCCGTATAGGGACCCATGAGACACTGTGGACCTGGCAGCAGCATGAGGAGGCGGTACAGGGGCCCATGGCAGATTAGGGGCCTGGCAGAAGCTATGGGAGGCCCGTAATCTGCCAGCACCCTATGACAAAAAATGGAACACACCAGCAGTGTGAGGAGACCTGAAAGTGGCACATGGCAGAGTGTGGCGATGGAGACAGCAGCAATGGGAGGCCGTACAGGGACCCATGAGAGATTCTGGACTTGGCAGAAGCATGAGGAGGCGGTATAGGGGCCCATGGCAGATTAGGGGCCTGGCAGCAGCTATGGGAGGCCCGTAATCTGCCAGCACCCTATGACAAAAAATGGAACACACCAGCAGTGTGTGAGGAGACCTGAAAGTGGCACATGGCAGAGTGTGGCGATGGAGACAGCAGCAATGGGAGGCCGTACAGGGACCCATGAGAGACTCTGGACTTGGCAGCAGCATGAGGAGGCGGTATAGGGGCCCATGGCAGATTAGGGGCCTGGCAGCAGCTATGGGAGGCCCGTAATCTGCCAGCACCCTATGACAAAAAATGGAACACACCAGCAGTGTGAGGAGACGTGAAAGTGGCACATGGCAGGGGCATGATTCATGGCGGATTTAGTCAGTTGTGTCAGGAACTGGTGGTTTGAAATCCAGACTAATCCATGCCTGATTCATTTTCACAAACGTGAGTCTCTCCACACTTTGGGTGGACAGTCGTGTCCTCCGCGGAGTTACAATACCTCCTGCCGCACTAACACACGCGCTCCGATGCCACGTTACTGGCCGGGCATGACAGCCTTTCAAGGGCAAATTCAGCTAGTTGGGGCCAAAGGTCAAGTTTCGTTGCCCAGTAGTCAAGGGGATTGTCTACCTCGGTTGGCAGGGTGCTGTCCAAGTAGGCCCAAGCCTGTTGTTTGAGGTCCTGCTCCAGGTCCACCTGATGCTGCTGCTGCTGCTGCGGCTGGTTAGTAGTTTCCTCACTGCGCTGGTGAAGAAAGCTACTCATCATCGACTGCAGACTGAGGCAGCCGCTGCTGGTGGAGCTACCACTGCTCCTACCACCCCACCCCTCCCCTGCTGCCATGGCAGCGGAACGCGAGCGCACAGGGCCCACAGTGTCTGAGGATGGACGTTGGCGCAGAAAGGCAGAGACCAACTGACTACATAGGTGGTTTTTTATAGTACGTTATTTTGGCCTCCCTCTCAGCAGGTGTGAAAAAGGCCACCATTTTTGAACGGTAGCGAGGGTCCAACAAGGTGGACAGCCAAAAGTCATCTCTCTGTCTGATGGTTATTATTCGGCTGTCGCTACGCAAGCAAGCGAGCATGCTATGGGCCATTTGTGCCAAGGAATGCGAGGGACTCCCTGCCTCCATCTCCACAGCATACTGCCACGGTGCGTCTGGGTCCTCTGTCTCCTCCTCCTCTACCAGATGCTCCTGCTCCTCCACTCCTGTCCGCTGAGTGGAAAAACCACCCATTTCACTCAATAATTCCTGAGCACAAATGTCCTCCTCTACCTCCTCCTCTTCTTCCTGTCCTGCCCCCACAGCGGTCATGTGGCGTTGAGATCTGTGCGCCACGTCTACCGCACACCCTGACCAGCCATTGTTAACAGCATTTGTTCCAGGACGTGCAACAGAGGAATGACGTCGTTCATCCCATAGTCCTGCCGACTCACGAATAGCGTGGCCTCCTCAAAGGGCCTGAGCAAGCGGCAGGTGTCACGCATGAGCTGCCAATGGCTGACATCGAAGTTACACAGGGGAGTACCTTTTATCCGCTTGTAACATCAGGAAATCGGTGATGGCCTTTCGCTGTTCGTAAAGGCGGTCTAACATGTGTAGGGTTGAATTCCACCTTGTTGCAACGTCGCAAAAAAAATTGCCACACCGCCGAGTAGGAAACTTTGCCCCCGATACTCCTCACTGGCTGACTGCTGCTTCCTCCGTGCACACCGGCACCACTACTGGCCGTGGTGGTAGGCTGCAGTGGAGCTGGTGCTGTACTCCGTGGCCGTTTGCCTCCACTGACACTGCTGCGACCCTGCTGCCTCCTGGGCAACCCACCGACTGTTTTGCTCGCTGCCAAGCTGCCAGCCTCTTCTCCTGATGATGCAGAAGCAATAGCCTGATGACGACGAGGCTGCCAAGTGCGATCAGCCTCATCATCATCAATTAGGGTCTCCGCCTCACTACTAGCCCCCTCAGCTGCGTGTGGGTTAGGAGACAGACCTGTCTCTAGACCGGCTACCGAGCCACTCTCCTCGCCACTACTTCTTCGCCTGGCTGCTGAAGAGGCGGATGTCTCCCCCCGTTCCTCTGTTAGCTCTTCCTCACTGTACAGTGGGGCTGAGCCCACAGCATGCGATACTTCGCTTGGTGAGGGAACACCAAAGGACAGGGGCAGGTAGAGGACACGTGATTTCAGTGGGCTTGCTCCCCGGGCCATGCCAACAAACGGTTGTGTCTGACGTACCCACCGACCGTTGGCTGTAGGTGTCAGAGGTGACCTGGGAAGAGGAAGACGATCGAGCCAACCAATCGATGATGGCAGGGTTGTCGGTGGAGACACGACCGCTGGATGACACCGGGAGCACTGGCCTCTGGCTGCGAATAGTGCTGCCTTGACCCCTTCCTCTGCTGCCACGTCTGCTCGCTCCTAAAACATTGCCTCCTCTGCCACTCCTCTGCATGTTGTCTGACATACTCTTTAATTAAACGATTCTGTGTCCCTGAGTTACAATTCTGTGTCTGTCCCTGAGTAACAATTCTGTGTCCCTGAGTAACGTTTCTGTGGCCCTAAGTAACAGTTCTGTGGCCCTCAGTAACAATTCTGTGTCCCTCAGTAACAATTCTGTGTCCCTCAGTTACAATTCTGTGTCTGTGTCCCTGAGTAACAATTCTGTGTCCCTGAGTAACGTTTCTGTGGCCCTAAGTAACAGTTCTGTGGCCCTCAGTAACAATTCTGTGTCCCTCAGTAACAATTCTGTGTCTGTCCCTGAGTAATAATTCTGTGTCTGTCCCTGAGTAACAATTTTCTGTGTCCCTGAGTAACGTTGCTGTGGCCCTAAGTAACAGTTCTGTGGCCCTCAGTAACAATTCTGTGTCCCTCAGTAACAATTCTGTGTCTGTCCCTGAGTAACAATTCTGTGTCCCTGAGTAACAATTCTGTGTCTGTTTCTGTTTCTGTGGCCCTAACTAACGATTCTGTGGCCCTAAGTAACGTTTCTGTGGCCCTAAGTAACGTTTCTGTGGCCCTAAGTAACGATTCTGTGGCCCTAACTAACATTTCTTTGTCCCTAAGTAACGTTTCTCTGTCCCTAACTCTCTCCCTGAATACAGCCAGGTCTGCCTCTGTTGAATGACTGGAGGCAAATGGAGAATTCTAAAATGGCTGCCATTTATAGCTCGACCATTACACAGTGCTGGCTGGCTGGCTGCTGATTGGCTAATGCGATCACATGTCATGAATGAATGCATTATGGGTCAGCGCGCCTTGTCTGCGCGCCTTCCCAGACATCCCCGCTCCGTCGCCGCACATGTCGCCGCCATTTTAGGAAAAATTTCGATTCGCGCATCCGAAGTCTGCTTATTTTCGGATTCGAAAATCGAAATTTTCCTAATATTCGAAACGAATTCCACTTCGCCTACTTCGATTCGCTCATCTCTAGTGGCAATGCCCATGACTTATGCCATTTTGTGACAAAGTGCACGAGTTAACATACTCTATCACTGAGACTGCTCTACCCTTAACCCCTGAATGTTGTCTCCTCCATATCTCCAAGTGCTCATTGAAATCGTACAAACAATCTTTGGTCCGGCACCTTTTGAATGCGGCTAAATTCTTAATCCCCAGACATTGGACGACCACTCATGTCCCCTCGATTCAAGATTGGATAAGAGAGGTTAACGTCATTCAGGAGTTAGAAAGGACATCGACTATGAACGATGACATGGTTGCCAGATTTCACAAATTATGGTTCAGTTGGTATGTTTTCACTTTTTCAGAAACGTATAGAGAGCTGGTGAGCGAATAGCACTTTTTTTGCTTCTCGATGTGCGAAGCATGCTGGTGGATATTTGACACTGCTTGCGGAATTGGATCTGTTCTTACGATTGCTGTTCCCTTTCTTTTCCTACTAAAATTCATACTTCTGTTCATGCACTCTCATGTCAAACTTCATGTTTGTATTTGCAATCTTGTAAACATTTTAATATGTGATTGCCTCATGTAGACTACTGATTTGATTGTACTACTGAGTTTTTTCCAGAAGCCAACTTTTGTTATCATGTACTACATGCCTTTATAACATGCACAGCTTTTTTGTAGTACCTTGCTGTTTATATGTTCTGCCTCTCTGAATAAACGTCAATTGCTTAAAAAAAAAATGCTGCTGCTGGAGATGACCATCTGACTCTCTCACCTGGTCATTAGCAAAGGCAGACTGCATGAAATGTGGAACCAGTTGGTGTATATTAGTTCACTGCCTCTCTTTGGCTAATAAAATAAAACTAGAAAAAGGCAGAATAGAAGGAAAAGGATGTCTGTGTGAGACACAAGTTATCATCATTTGGCATATTAAGAATTTTTAAATGTGCTGACTCCTGCATGTCTGCTGATGTGATTCTTCTGCCAGTAACAAGCAGAAAGGAATCCTAACCTATTCTGGCTCAGAACAGGTTAGGATCCTAACCTATTTGCTATTTTATTTGTACCCCTGCTATCAGTTTCAAATTTGTAAACGCAAAGCATTTTGTAATGGTGCCATCCTGACATTTATAGGCCATGTCACACATGTAATGAAAACCAAGACTTTATTTGCATCATTGTGTTAAAATCCTCATTACATTTTCTTTGGTGTGTAATACTTGCCAGCTGTTTGTTTATTATAAGAAACAGCCCCAGGTTTTGCAAATTTGTAGTGGATTTTTTCCCTAGCTTCTAGTTTAGTAATTTAACCAAAGCGGTATTGAAGCTCTGCTGTTCTACAATAAAAATTTAAAAACAAAATACTTTGTAAAGTAACATTTGTTT